TCCGTCGCACTGGTAATCCGATGTGCAGCCGGCTAGGACGGGGAGGGGCACTAGGTTGATGCACGTCACCAAAGCTTCACCACGGTAGCTTGCTGCACAGAAGATAGTGGTTCCGTCTCCCTTGGAAGACGTATTTCTCTAGCCTACTCAACACATGTAACAAACGCCTCAAAAAATGCTACGCGCACTCTATCAACCCAAGAACAACGCTCGATAAGCCATTGGCTCGTGAATATTGGAACATGCGCATCGCTTGTCGAGATGGCGCAGATATATGTAGGAAATGCGGAATTGTCAATGTGTACACCGCGTGTACTCTAGTCCTCGTCTTGTCCAACTTGCTTGTACTTTCCGCTCGTACTGTCACCCTCGCCGTTGCCCTTCGTCCTCTTGACCATGTTGCTGATCCAGCCACCGATGCCTTCGCCGTTCTCGGTGTCCGCCTTGGCCATGTCCTTGTTGCCGTTCTCGATGTCAGGAGGATCAATGCTGAGTCCAGGAATGGCCTCGTCTTGCGCGCGGCGTCCGCGGATGTCGAGCGATGGAACAGGAGAGCCGCGGCCTTCTCCGCTGAAAAGTGATTCGGCTTGGGCCAGGGTCTCCGGAGTGGGCATGACCGAGGTAGCGTCTCCGAACAGGGAGTTCATGTCTTCCAGGCGAACGTTGGCAGTTTCTGGGTAGATGAAATATACTGAGTCTTGTTAGTAAACAGCTCAGCCCAAATGTCAGCCAAAACCTACCGATAACGAAACTGGCAGCGCAGAAGAATGCGTGGATGAGGTACAACCGCCACTGGATGTGCTCCTGCAGGATCGGAGTCATCTCACCAACCAGCCAGTTGAAAGCCCAGTTGGTCGCAGTACTCAGACTGGCACCCTTTGCACGAATGCTGAGGGGCAGGATCTCTGGTGGGTACAACCACGGAATAGGACCCCATGAGTATCCAAATGCGGCGTTGTAGATCATGACGAATATGACGACCATGTTGGGTGTCCAAGAAGCTTGCAGGAACTGGAAGTAGGAAATGGCGGAGAGGGAGATCAGCATCATGAGGGCTCCGGAGAGCAGAATCTTCCGACGACCCAGCGTGTCCACAATGTACCATGGTGGAATGGTCGAAAGCAGGTATGTGATGGCGTTGATACCAGTCATGAGAATAGCTTGGCGACCGTACCAACCAGCCTCTTCGAAGACGAGCGGTGCATAGTACGAGATGACGTTGATGCCGTTGAGTTGCGCGAGGGCTTGGGCGGACATGGCAATGAAGACGCGTTTGGAGTATCGCGTAAACATATCTTTGTATGATCGTTCACCTTCTTGACGCTGGAGCAGAACGTTCATCTTTATCTCTCGGTATTCATCTCGTGCTTTGGGGTTGTGAATATCGCCCTTTCCGTACAAATTGGCAATAACTACAATACCCTCTTCGTCGTGATCGTTGTCCAAGAGCCATCTGTACGTGTTAGTGAAATTCCTGGATTAGGAGTGTATAGCAAACCTTGGCGATTCGCAGATAAGCAAGCTTCCTGCGGCCAGAAGAAGGCCCATGATGCACTGCATGAAAAGCGGCACTCTCCACGACCAGTCGTTCTTGATGTATGTGCAGAAGTAGTCAACCCACACACTGACTGCGTAACCTGTGATGTTGCCAGTGAATTCAATGCAACCCATCTTTCCTCGGTTGTGGGGCGGCGAGATTTCGGACTGATATACGGGAACGATGGTAGATAGCGATCCGACTCCCAGACCGGCGATGACTCTGCCGAGAAGCATCATGGGGATACCGTTGGCGAAGGTCTGGAGAGCGCCGCCGACGACGAAGATGAGGGAGCCGTACAGGATGGTCTTGCGTCTTCCGATCACATCACCGATACGGCCAACGACCAGCGAGGAGATAAAGGCACCAACTTCCAGGATAGCCACCATCGTACCGAGCTCGGCGGCGGAAGGCTGGTTGAAGTAGTCTTTGAAGTAGATGCCGCTGTGATACTATTAGACATGGCCAAGTACAGAGAGTGCGTAAGGGCGTACGTGATGATACCGGACATGACTCCCTGATCATAACCGAACAGGAACACGCCTAAAGAGACGAAGACACTGGTGAAGTAGCTACTGCTATTAGCTCTGAGCTTCCTGTCGTGGTATCCGCTCTACCCACATCAGCTTCTTTCCGTGTAACCCGTGAATACGGGAGGGCCCATCGTTGGGTGCCATGATGCGAGCGAGTATCTGCTCTGCCTTTGAGATAGTGCGTGACCCAGGGTCGGGGATCTCGATGTCTTCGAGCCGGAGTTGGTGGGCGCCCTTTTCGTGGAGGTCCTGAGATGCAAAGCGCGCTCGCTTTTGCTTTTGGCGTGGCCGCGACGGGTTGCCGGCTTCGAGGTTGATGCGGAGGGGATCTTCTCGGTCAGCTAGCTGGTCGACGAGGTCACCAGTATCGCTCCAGACAGAGAGGTCCGAGTCGGACGATGGGGTGTCGAAGGAGGAGCGCGCGCTGTCCTTATCGTGGTCGTCGAGCAGATAAGCAGAGTCGTGGTCTCGGGGACGGGCCGAGCTCGAGAGGTTGTGGAGGGGGATGTTGGCAGGCCTCCTGGTGCTGTTGGAGTGGGACGGAATGGTGAAGGTCACAGGCTGTTGGGAGACAGCCCTCTTCTCCGAGAGATGGTGGTAGGAAGAACGAACGAGGCCAAAGGCGGCTGCTGGGGCACGTCACAGGGTCAAGCAGCCGAGACGAGGGATCTGGTAAGGCTAGCGCAAAGGCGGTGAGAACTCGGTCGCATTGGGCTACAATGGGGAAAAAGACAGTCACGACGATAGCGCCTGGTTGAGATCAGACGTCCACAGGTGCATGCGAACGTGTGAGCTCCCTGTTCGGGCTGCCTTGCCGTCATTTCTTGGCACCCATGTAGACTCCTTCGCTGCTCGGTCCGACCATGTTGCGCATGGAGCCTGCTGGCGGCCGCGGCATCGTCTGCACGATGATGTACGCGCGCAGCAGAGGCTTTGTTTTTATCGCGGCTGTATCGCATCGAGTGACAGCCAGATGTACGGATCGCCATGTTCTCGCTACCACAATCCGATGCCGTTGACCGGAGGCTTGAGGCGGAGGCTTGATAGCGGACATTAGATCCCGCGATGCAGCACACGACGTAGCCACGAGCTCTACACTACACCTACACTAGAGGTGCACCACCAACTTTGCGCCATGTACGGGGCGGTGGAGGCGGGTCCCGAGGTCACGTTGGGGTTGTAGTGTCGACGATTGGAGCCCCGCGTGGAGACTGACTGCAAAGCGGAAAGATAGCCGCGATCAACTTCAATGTTGCCCAACTCATGCGGTGTAGAAAAGGACACCGCCTAGTGGTAAAAACTCCATACAGATCACGAGACTCGATGCTATGTAAGGAAAGAGACGCAGGGCCACATGGCAGTCTTCGTGCGGAGAAGCAACATGGGCGGGCTCAGACGCGTTCTGTTCTTGCATCTTTCGCTTCGCACGTGAACGTGACAGCCCTAAAGTCTGCCGTCACTGGACGAGGTGAACACTAAGCAAAGAAACCGTCATTGCTTTGCTGGAGACGCGACTTAGCCTTATGACAGATCTCGACACGCTTTATATACCCAACGCGTTCGAGTGTTTGCAATCTCCCCAAAACGCTGTGGTGAAGCGACTATAATGCTAGCGTTAAACAAACATCAGTCAAATCCATCCTCGTCGATACAGTAGACGCCGGAGACCCTCCTGACGTTTGCAAGCTGGGGCCTCGCTTCCAGTGCGAAACACCTAACTTTTACGGCCCCAGGCACACAACGCTCGTGGGCAAAGGAGGTCTGCAGGTCGGCCGTGCTGCTGTAGAGTTGAACAGCTGCAGGAAGGGCCTCGTCGCCAACGTCAAGCCATCAACTCAATTAATGAGCGCCCTTGTACCACCGGTAGAGTTGGGAGTTCTGCGTCATGCTGGTTATGACACGCCCAAGGCCCATGGCTTGCTCTGCCGCCAGATGCTCCGTGATCTGCGGCCCCTCGCTGCAAGGGGAAAGGCGCCGTGGGAGTGATTGGCCCAGCAGACCCCAGTTTTGATTACCTGCCCAGATGTTTGTGTGGCAGCGTTCCTGTTTCTTGCTTCTGGCAGAGGCCTAAGAAGGTGTTTAACGCAATTGCCAGGCATCCCTTCGCTGTAATCGACGTCGGACAACTCAATTGAAATTCAGCCTGCAGGGGGTTGGTTTAGCGCAGCACGCCCGCCCTGGTAACCAAACATTGAAAGCTCGCGGTCGGACCTGGCACTCGCTCGGCGCGCCTGATTGGATTTGGCTGAAGACCTGCTTGGCTTCGTGCATTGTTTCGAGGAAGCTTCCCAGCGGCCCCAGCCACAGCGCATCATTACACCTCTCACCACCACGATCACGACGACGACCGCTCCACGATTCGCTTTCACGTCGCCTGCCTGTCCGCGCCGACCGCCCTCTCTTATCTGTCGCAGTGCGCACAACCCGATAACGAGCGCTCCACATAAAACCGCAAGGCTGAGGCTCACCTGCAGCTGTTGCTGCCGAAACGAAAAGCATGTCTAGATACGGAAAGGTATGTCGACGACGACTGCACGCTGCGAGAAGAAAACTGACCATCTAGTTTGACGACTTCTGCCGCGACACAGGCTCGAACTGGAGCACATTACCTGTCTGCTATGTACGTTGCGTCCTACCACCCCTTTGCCCGTCCACCGCCCGCGAACGCGCCGCTAACCCCATATTTCGCAGCTTTTCAACCCAGCTTCGACAAAAGACGATAACGGATGGCAAGATGGCTGCATCCTACAGGGCTTCCCCGTTGGTGGAGGTGAAAGACTGCACAATCTGGGTACGAGGCACATGCGCGCTTCAACGACGTTCCGCTTACACACCTAGGCTCCATATTAATCTGCGGCATCGCAATCCTCGCCTCGCTGTTCCTGCTATGGAGATCGCAAAGAAAGAAGGCTGCTGTTGGGCGCAGAGAAATGCAGCTCTTCCTCCTCGGATACATCGTCATCTCCATCTGCGAGATCTTCACTATTGGCGGATTCCCCCTCAATTCCACTGTGCGCATTGTACGTACGCGATCCTAAGTATCCACCTGTAGTGTCTAATCTGTATACAGGTCTTCGTCGCTATCCACATCGCCGCAATCACCGCTACGTCCTGGATCCTTATGCTCAACGGCGCAGTGGGCTACCAACTACTTGACGACGGCACGGCAGTATCTATCGGTCTGCTTTTGATCTCGTCGATCGTAATCTTTATCGGTACCGGCTACATCGCCCTCGACACTGGACTCAGCTGGACAGGTTACTGGGACGAGACGCGCTTCCTGCCCAACCAGGCCTACGCGCTATACACCCTCTACCAGCTCGTCCCATTGGTCTTCATCGTCATCTTCTTCCTCCTGGAAGCTTTCCTGGTGCTGCGTGTTCTCGGCGAGCGCAAGCCAATGCGTAAGGAGTCGTCAATATTCTATCCAAAACATCACTAACTCCCTCCCAGTCTATCTCCTTGCAGCAGGCCTTCTATTCGCCATCGGTCAAATCTTCCAATATGTCATCAGCGTCCACATCTGCAACGGCACGGACGGCAAGATCAACGGAGGACTTTTCTCGACCCTCTTCACCCTCCTATCGGTAGTAATGATTTGGGTGTTCTGGTCGAGCATCACCGAAGACGACTGGCCCATGCCAACTGTCGCTGGCTCGGGCGCATATAATTAGGAACGAAGTGGTAATCTCGGGGGTGTACAGGCAACGGCGTAATGTTCTTATGATGGCTTTTGCCCGGCATAGCGTATACCATTTTGGGGCTCTTTGGACGCATTTGATGCGTCATGCTGAACTTGTGCTACGATATACATAATGTTTGCTGAATGGAATTATTTGATGTTCAGAAAATGTCTGCAAATGCAAGAACGTGAGAGATGAGACACGACTGACTGGGTATATTGATGATCTATCGCTCGTCGCAAGATGTATACACATCTAAGCCTCTACCACAGAACTACTTCATCCAGTCATTTCGGTATCCCCATTGCTGGCTTCAACTGCTGTAACCCCATCCAGTCTACCCAAGCACCCCGGACAATTATGCAATACCATATGCGCAAAGACATCGCAATCGATACAAAAGTGACTCTCACAAGTCCGACATTCATACCTCCCACTCTCACTAGCCTTTTGCGCCTCACTATCTTCCTCATCCCTCTTCGTGCCATTGACCTCGCCGTTTTGTTCAGCCTCAGTCCTCTGTCTATTGCTACTCGGCGGACTGCTAAAGGAAACCAGACAGCCCACACATTGCGTGCTACCCTTCTCGCGGGCGCGTGACCAGGAGACCGTGGACCAATTGCGGAGAGGAAAGAGGTGGTGGTAAGACCGCGCGAGATGGGTGGAGAGGAGGAGAGTGAGCTGGCATGACGGACATGTGATGGGTAAGGAGCAGACTTTTGCGCTACAGCGAGAACATGTGTAGCCGCCCATGGTGAGATTGCCGTGACATGCGCACATTGTTAGCTCGTCTTCTATGACTCGCGAAGGGAAGCCCATCATCATGAGCGCTGCTGCGGACTCTGGGGCTTGTGGAGCTGCTGCTTCGACGGCGGGTGCCGACGTACGGATTACGGGTGGTGTCGTTGTGGCAAGGAGGAGCTCTTTGAGCATTTCCTGGTCGGTTGCGATGGTGTATTCGGAGTCGTCGCCGGCGTTTGTCCGTGTTACAATTTCTGTGCAGATTTTGAGGCGTGCGCCCATGCCGATGACGCTGACGCGAATCTTGTCTCGTACGCAGGCCTTGACCGTTTGGTGTATGTCTCCAGGGTCTAAACTCAACAAGCTGCCAAAGACGACGATGACTTCTCGTGTGCCGTGGCTTGGTGTGTGATATAGCGTCGCCCTTGCCAGCTCCAGCGCGTTCTGCAAACTGGGTGCGCCCTTGGGCTCTTTGCCATCGTCTTTACTCCTCAAGCCTTGTATCGCTGCGACGTGTTCTGCCGGGTTGCCCGAGAGCTCCGAGACTCGTATGCAGACGCCGTCGTGCATGCCGAGAACGCTCATCTGCGATATGGGATTTTGCTCGAAGAATTCGCGGATATAGTCTTGCGTGTAGTTGATCATCGTGATGAAGCGGTTCGGTCGCATGTCCTTTTCCATCATTGCTTCCGAGAGGTCAAGCACCAAGACGACATGGCGGATGATGCCTCGCTGGAAGGGCTTTGTGTCTTTCCGCAGTCGCTTTCGTTTCCTCTCTTCTTCTCGTTCTTGCACGCTTAGCCCCATTGTATCGTCCTCTGCCAGTTGTGTCGTTTTTGCGACCGTTCGCGAGTCCTCTGTCTCCCATGCTTGCCGTTTGGGTGGTTCCTTTGCAGGCACCTCCGCTTTCCGCCTTTTGCCAGGTGCTGTGGATTGCGCGCGTGTGGTGGAGGGACCGCTCCTTGTGCCAATGTACTCGTCGTCAGATCCCTCCCCCTCAAAATCGTAATCCGAATCGGCCATCGTATGCGCGACAACTTGGGATGCGTCGAAGAGCTGTGGTAGGTGATATGCGTGTGTGACTGTATGGATGTGTGGAGTTCAGGTGGATGATGCGCGTGCATAGGCGGAAGCGTGTCTCACCCGTGATAGGCTAAACGCGCTCTCACGTTTTCTTCGCAAGGAAGCCGCGTATGATTAACCCGTATCATCTTGCCTTCTGTGTTGCAATCCTGACATTTACACCTTTTTTTCGTTTCCATAACAAATCACGACCAAGCAGAGTGGCATTGGTTTCGATGTTAGAGTATTCACATAAGATTTCAAGATCGCACTTCTGGCAACGGATATCTCCACATGGAAATGCCGAAGACGACCCCGCGACCGACGCGAACGTGGGGCAAAGTCCCGAACTCCACAACGGGCCATCTTGCATCAACACACGCTGACTGCTTTATAAGCCTTTCCAGATCCCTGACTCCATGTTGGCACGTTCCTTCATACGCTGCACACGCACCGTTACTACTACCTCCAGACCAATCTTTGCCTCTAGATCACAGTTGCTGTTACCTCCACTTCCACAAGTAAAGTACTTCAGCACAACAGTAAGAGCGATGTCGGCATTTGAGCGATTGATTCGGTTTGAGGACAAGGAGGGAAAGACGGTATATGGGAATTTAGAGAAGGAGGTGCCCACCAGGGAGATTGAAGGAAGCAGCGTAGAAGTGTTGTCTGGGGACATCAAGAGTGGATTCAAGAAGACGGGGGAAAAAGCTACAGTGGGAAAGGTATGCAATCCGTATACAGATGAGATACAGATAGCAGGAAGAACTAACATCTAATAGCTCCTCAGCCCCGTCCCAACGACAAACATAATCCTCTGCGTGGGCCTCAACTACCGGCGCCATGCCGAAGAGTGCAACCTCGCTATCCCCTCCAACCCAGCCATCTTCACCAAACCCAGCGATGCTCTCGCAGGTCCCTTAGAAACCATCCCCATTCACCCGGACTGCCAATCGCAACTCGACTATGAAGGCGAGCTCACTCTGGTCATTTCAAAGGATTGCAAGAACATTGCTGCTAAAGACTACGCCAACTACCTCCTTGGTTACACCATCTCCAACGACGTGTCCGCCCGGAACTACCAACTTCCTGCTGGAGTATCAGGCGGCCAATTCGGCTACGCGAAGTCTTTCGACAAGTTCGCTCCCGTAGGCCCGTGTGTCGTGTCCCCTAGCTTGATCCCTGATCCCCATAAGCTAAGGTACTGGACCAAGGTCAATGGCGAGAAGAGGCAGGAAACCGGGACGGATGATATGATTTTCAGTGTAGGCCAGATTTTGGAGCATCTGAGTCGTGGAACAACGCTGAGAGCTGGTACGGTGATTCTGACAGGTACACCGAGTGGCGTTGGTCTATTCATGGATCCGAAGGGTTTCTTGAAAGATGGGGATGAGGTTGAGGTGTATGTGGAGGGAATTGGGAGTATCGTCAATAAGATGAAGTTTGAATAAGTGGACAAGACGGGGTAAACGAATGTTCAATATAGGGGCTTATGGGCATAAATTCAGGAAGATTACAGACTTCTAGTTTGATTAAAGCATGCGTAGGCATAGTGTCAATACCCGTCTGCCTGGTCCTTAAAGATCGCGATTAGGGTCCAACAGACACACGTACCGTACGACTGCGAACTTACTCAGCCTCATCTGAAGCTCCCCACGCCTTCCACCTCCATCTAGACTTGTCAGGCAGCTCCAATTCATACCATGCAGGCGTACCAGGAACGTGTTCCACCAACTGCCAGCCCAGTATCTCTGCCATGCGCAGCAACCATATCTCGCGAATTGATCCATACCGCGGCCCACCATCCGCTGGCTGCACAAGCTCAGCAGGTGCTGTCTCTACCTGTTCTTTGATCATTTCCTTGGCGAGCTCCCGCAGGCGATTCAGATGATAAGGTTCTATGTGGAAGACACTGAAAGTGTCATGTACAGCATAATAACCAACCTTGTGAATTTGGGCATCGATTTCTCCATCGTAAATAACAGACTTGTGAGTTAGCTTACTCATAGCGTTCCACATAAAGTGCACGATAGCTTGCGACCATAATGTGTCTTTGAACATGTCGAGCGTAAAATGATGTGGCACGTCTGGGCGCAATCCTGGATGGAAGGCTGGAAGGGATGATTTCAAGAACAGGGTGTGTCGGCATTTAGGGCACGTATTTGAATGCGAAATGTTTGTGTCGATCCACTTTTTGAGACAGGTAAGACCAAAGATGTGCTGACATTGCGTGCGTGTGGCTTTGTGCTCTTCATTGAATGCTTCATGACAGATATCGCAGGCTTCTATAATGTCGAGATCCCTGAAGAACTTTACTTTTGTCGGAAGTGGGGATCGTGGTGGGGTTGAGGTCATGATTTGGTGGTTCACTGGAGGTGTGGGCGAGGTGTGGGTTGAAGTCGAGGCGGACTAGCTGGTGGCAGATGTTCTTAGCTAGCAACTAGTTGCTGTTTTACGTAGTAAAAGATGATAACGTGATATGTCTTGTAAGTTTTTATTCTATCCCTCCACGCATCAGCAGAAGCAGCACATGACTGTGGCGTACTTTAGTTGATAGGATGGGATTTTATTGAGAACCACGAGTGTCCTGAACACGGAACAGCTTCACTGTTCATCCATGATTGAGAATGATTCAGGACTGATGTTTGAGTTCAACTGCGAGCTTCCAATGAGCAGCGTACTGCTCAACCTCACATGTACTATCATACAGAGCTGACGGCTGTCATCATAAGCATGCTCCCTTACTACCTATGATCTACAGGAGAAGTCGCATGTCTCCCGCGGATTTCGGAAGTGATTCAGCTATCTGATAGTAAGTCTCGGGATTTGAAGACCTGTGGAAGACGTTACCTAGGTAGTGACCTAAAATCTCCCTGTGTGAAGTTGCGATGTCGGCCTGTCTATAGCAAGCAGTAGCCTCCATAATGTGTCCATGGAAACCAAACGAAGAGAGATACCAGAAACTTAAATTGAGAGCTCCGGGGAGCGGCACCCAAGCTCGGCGCTGTCAGCTTCACCTAGATGACATTTGCGCGGTACTGACAGGTGAGGGGTGCGTCATGGCCACGAGACGCTAGTGCCCACGCTAATTTCGAAGTTACGTTGAGGGCAGGCGACCATGTACCCGAACCATCAACTTTGAAACAGCACAACAAAAGAACGCAGATTCATCTCCCATTTCAGAGACG